GGATATGTTTAAATGGACTCCCCTGGTAATTGGTTGTTTTATCACTGCTTCTCATGATGTAAGCACTTACACATTCATCTTTTAAATTGCTCCAGAAATCTGACCATTCTTTCTGATTCCTCTCATGCTCAAATTCATAGGCATCTGCACTTTTGGGGATGTGTATGTTATAGTTTGTGTCTAGTTGTCCCCCCAAAGCTTCATGCAGTCATGGGCGGCTTTTGGAGTTTGCAGTTGATTATTGTAGGTGTGGATGCTGCACCTGCCCTGGGGCAAGTAATTTGGACTACAAGGTAAGGAGGGGAGATTGGCTAGTTAGCTTTCTGAGCTGCTGTTCCTCCTCCCTTTTTGGCTCTGTGGCTCCTTGCCACCACCATGAAAGGTTGCTCTCTGCAATGTGCCACTCTGTTTTGGAGCCAACTGGGTATGGCCTGGAAACTCCAGTAACTGTAAGCTAAGTAAACCTTTCCTTCCTTCATTTTGAGTGTCAGGTATTTTTCCCAGCAATGAGAGAAGAGTAAGTGAGACAGTATATATATATATATATATATATATATATATATATGTCAAGGTATAACTGCATCTCAACAGCTCCACTGTTATTTTTCTAGTTCAAGTTATCATCAGTTTTTACCTCAAGGATGATAATAAGTTCCATATTAATTTTTGTTTCTCTTTCCTTTCTTCAGTCTACTTTCAATTCAGTAGTAACTGTAATCTTTCTAAAATGAAGATCCCATCTTGCTTTGCCAAATGTCGTTACCTCCAAGACCCATAGGATTAGGCTTGGTTTCCAGTTTCTTGTTGGACTTCATCACTTACTGTCTGCTTCTTTTCCAAGCTGGCCTGAAACATAGCATGCATGCCTCCACAGGCCTTGGTGTTGTGCAGTGCTTATTTTCATATCCACATGGTATGTGGCTCACTCCATCATCTGTTTTATAGTTTTATTCATATATTAATCTTTCTAGGTGTACTTGACCAGATTACTTAAAATTGTCAGTCCTTAACGTTTCCTAACAATTGTATTTTTCTGAAATACTTAACACTTTCCAGCACTACATATTTTGCCTATTAATATTATCTATTTTCTCTTACCTGTACTGTAATTACTCACATGTTCATGGATTTTTTGTTTAGTTCTTTGTTTTATCTAAGATGCCTAGAGCAATACCTGATCATAATGCATGCTTATTACATATTCGTTGAATGAATAATTGAATGAACTTCCTTCCCCTTGTTGTATGGGGCTTTAAAAAAAAAATCCATCTATAGTAAAGGTAATGGTTATTTTTTCCATGATGGCATCTTTTTATTTAAAAAAATTATACCAGGTGTATTAAATAAATCATCATATGATTCTCAGTAAAGAGTTCACTTTTTTTTTTAATTCAGGGCTTTGCAATTATTAGCACAGTCAATTTTGTAATACTTTAATTGCTTCCAAAGAAGTTACATAATTAGTAACAGTTGTTTCTATTTCTCCCTCCCTAATTCTCTCCAGTCCTATGTCGACACTGGTTTACATTTTGTCCGTACAGTATGCTTACTTTGAATATTTCCTACTGGATTGTATGCTATGTGGCCTTTCATGATTAGCTTCTGTCATTGTGCATGTTTTTAAAATTCATCCACGTTATAGCACTTATCAGTACTTCATTCCTTTTTATGACCAAATAATACTCTGCTGTATGCATGCACATTTGTCTTTTTTTTTTTTTTTTGGCGGAACCGAGGGTTGAACTCAGACCCTTGCACTTGCCAGGGAAGCGCTTATTCTACTGAGCTATCTATCTCCCCGGCCCCTACATTTGTCTTTTTAATGTCACATCTTAAATACTCTGTATTCTAAGCCCTTACCAAATACACAATATGTGGATTGTCTTTCTCGTCTTGTTTCTTTGAGGCAGAAAAATTCCTGATTTTGATGAATGTGAGTTTATTTTTATTTGGTTGCTTGTGCTTTTCTCCTCATATGTAAAAATCCATTACATAATCGAAGGTCAAGATCTCATCAGTTGACCTTGCTCTCAAGTCCCAGTGGGCTTGAACAGCGGCTTTAGGGTACAAAAAGAATTCCAAATCATTTTGAAAGTGATTCTTCTGAAAGGCTTTAGTTTCAGCTCTTACCTTTAGACTCTTTAAGTTAATTTTTTGTCTGTGACATATGATGGATGACCCATTTCATTCTTTGCAGTTGGACAGTAGGTTGACCCCACATTATTGCTGTGCTTCACATGCACCTCCAACTCCCTACCCATCTGAAATGCTTGGATCCCCTTAGCAGAATTTGACTGTACATTTGAGGGTTTATTTCTAGATTCCAGAATGTTTGATTTCATTCCATTCATTATGATAATGTCTCACTCATTGCTATCTGAAGTTTCTGAAACAGATGGTTTCTTTTGAGCTGTATTTGTCTAGTCTGGATGTTCTTATTAGCTTGGAGTGCTACAGTAACAAAATTTTCTGGAAAACTGGGCTGTTTACTTAGGGAAAGTTTTCAAAAAAGACATGTAACATCTTATTCCCTGCTTAAAGTGTTGTTTTATTTGCCTTTGTGGAATTGTAAATGTCAAAGTCTTTTCTTATGGCCTCCTTCCCCTGCTTTCAGTCTTCTTGGCTTCCCTTGGACCAGTAATTTTGAATTCTTACTTGATTCCTAAGGTCATCTTTCAAGCCCAGTGGAATTTGAGAGCAAAATCAGTTAGTTCGACATTTTACTGTTCTGATCAAATACATCCATTGTTAACTAGCTTTCTGGCATGTGATCGGAAGGTAAAGCAGTCAATTGATTGTCATCTTGTGACTTAAATGCCACACTGGGCCACACAGACACCTTTTCATTTTAGAAGTTGAAAATTCTTTTGATACAGCAGGAAAGTGCAAAATTGGCTCTTTTTGGTACTGTGCAAAGAATGATAGGAATAGCTAGAATGCAAGTGATTCTACTTTTATGTCTACTTTTTCAGTCCGTGTACTAGGTAGACATGAACTCCTATCCAAGTTTGTATCCTCTTAAACTTCTGAAAAACAGATTTAGTTATGAAAATATCTGTGGGGTGTGTGTATATATCAGTGTATATATACATACAATTGCTCTCAAAATATCACTTTCCTATTAGTATAATTGTTATTATGCTTTACTTTTTTTAAAGATACATTTCAGTTGAAGCTGGGAACGGTGGCATACTCCTGTAATCCCAGCACTTGGAAAGCAGAGGTGGGAGGATTGCCATGAGTTCAAAACCAGCCTGAACTACATAGAAAGACCCTGTCTCTAAATAGTTAGATAGATAGATAGATAGATAGATAGATAGATGATAGATAGATAGATAGATAGATAGATAGATAGATAGATTTCAGTGAATAATAAATTAATTTCCTATAAGATAGATGGGAGGCCATTAATGTAACATATTTATATGTGTGGTACAACAGATGCTAGGTTCCATCCTCTTCTTCAGTGTATTGGCACCTTGGGTATGGTTCTGCAGCCAAGCATGTATATGTGAAATTCCATATTTTTGTCACTGCATTCAGGTCTTCCAGGTTTTCCTCCCTAAGTGTTAGTGAGTGAACTTTGCCAAATCTGTTATCAGAAACTTACATTTCCATTAGCATAATAATCAAAGCTAAGTGGTAGCTTCCTTTGCATGCTACAGTATGATTACTGCTCATACTACAAAGCTCACAAGACAGCGTTAGCCCTTCTTCAAGGACTAGGCATTATAAAAAAAATTGTTGCTAATAACTCTTTAACTCCATCAGTTCTAGATAGCATATTATACTCTGAGAACATAGAATAGTCATCTATTCATTGAAGCAAACAATGTAAGTACCTCCAATGTGCTAAATGGGGTTCGAAGTTGTGAAGGTCAGTGCAGCAATGGAGAGGACCTAAGATTCACCTGGGTGATGGGTAGCAAAACACCTTCCTGACCAATAGAGCATCTTGTTCTAGTGCATCCAAAGGAGGATTAGGGTGGCAAGATGAGAGTCCAAGAGCAAGGCAGGGCCAGATGCTTCAAGACCCCATAGGCTGCATTGAGGGTTTTGTTCTCTTCTGAAGAAGCCATTGAATTTTTTTAAATTCAAAGTTATATTTTATATGGATGAGGAACTAGGTCTGAATTGGAAGCTGACTACCTCTTATTCAGAAGTATTGATGACTAGATAGTAATAAATTTTAAAAGTTTTGTTTTCATTAGAACAGTACCTCACCAACTTAAGTATATTTAAGAATGAACTAGAAGAATTTATTTTAGAGGCCCTCTCCAGAGATTTTGAAAGTCTAGATGAGTTCAGCATCTTCAAGTTGTGAGAGGTGTTGGAATTTTGATTAGAAGTCAGAGGTGAAAAACTTACTTTTTTGTTTTTTGGGGGTTTTTTTGGTCATTGTTTCCTTGTGTATAAATAACGAAGAATTATTCTTAGTCATAATAATAACCATGAAATACTTTGGGAGTTTTATTACATAGAAACCCTTTGTAGGGTATACAGATTTTACGTGTATGTATATGCTCTTTCCTGGGGGCAATATAGTAGAAAACAGCATTGAGAAACTTAAGTATGGGGAGTAGTGTCTGGGACTCAGCTCCAGAGCTCAAGACCTATCAAATAAGAGAGAAATGATGACGAACACAAATTTGTAGGGCTAACAAGATAGCTCAGCGGACTAAGCACCTAAGGGACAGGGGTTCGATCCCTGACACCACACACTGGCCCCACCCCCAGGTACCCTGAACTGACCATGGTGACCTTGCCTGTAATCCCAGTGCTGGGGAGGCTGAAAACAGGAGGATCACTATGAATCCAAGCTGCTTAGTGAGACTCTATACTAAATACATAAATTAAAAACATATATATAGCATTTTCAGTACTGTTGAGATTTTTTAATTTATATTAATATATTTTGAGATTCTATAGTAGTTGCTGTTTTAACAAGAACAGTGAGCATGCACATCACTGAATTTGCTTTCTTAACTTGTTTTCTCCAGATCTAATCACTTGTTTGGACACTGCACCCAACTTTTTGGAGCCTGAGTTCAGGTATGGCCACATTTAGGGCTTAAATGTTTCTCTTAATCCACTTCTCATTGTTTCACACTGAAGTTAATGTGTAGTGTGTGACACATAATCATTGTTTTGGAACATAACTAAATTAGGGTTAATTTAAACCTAAGCATTTAGTTGCCATATTAAAATTCTGCTTTACTTGTAACATTTAGATCTTCTCCAAAGTGAAAGTATAGTTTTTAAATGCTTTAAAAGTAGAACCAGTTGCTCTTTAAAATCTAACAAAATTATTACTGTAAATAGAAAAGCTGTTTCTTTTTTTTCTTTTTCAAGGAAGAGGAGGGATGGTGGAAGTTATTACTGAATTCTTCATCATTCTTATCTAAGTGGCATGTCTCCTACTATTTCTCTCCTTTCTACCTTTGTCTCTTGCCTAGACTGAGATTACTGTTTAACTGAGCTCCCATATCTAATTTTTGCTGTTACTCATGCTCCTGGCAAGTAGTTTTTAAAAATTCAGACTGATTATTTCCCTCCTTGAAAGTGTGGAGAAGCTATTGTGATGAAAAGTAGATTCCTTAGCTTCATCACAGTCTTCCATGAGTAGGCTCTGGGCCATTTTTCCAATCTCATCCACATGTATTGTGATTTACACTGCTGTGAGCTCTTGCTTGGAACCACTGTACTCTGGTCCTGGCAAAATCATTCTCATTTTTCAAAACCCATTTCACTAGCCTCCTTTCAACTTGTTGCTGCTTACAAAGGACCTTAATTTGTCTTTAAGAATGGCTTCTCTGTCTGGAAAGAATACCTTTTTCTGCGTCAGGGAGTCTGGTTAACAAGAATAAATTAATCCTGGCATCAGCCTGTTTAGCAAGAGCAGCTGACCCTGGCGTCTGGCTTCCCTGGGCTCCTCCACCCCGTCACCACCACCCAAGCCCGCACTGCCGCCGTCTGTCTGCGGGCCTGCTGCACTAGCTGCCTGATGGTGTCTCAGCCACCCTCATGCTTCCATATACATCTTGACCCCTAGGAGCCAGAGTAATTGTATATAGTAGATAAAGAAAAGCACATGTCGTACTAGTCATGTACATATTTAGGCTGCCAAATTCCTTTAGTGGCCTCCATATTTTATGTAGAAGTAATCCCACACTCCTTTCCCACAAGACTTCTGTATGATCTAGTCCCATCTCTCCGGCCTTCCTTTTGCTTAGTGTACTCTGTCTGCAGGGTCCGTTCACACTCACAGACACTTGCCTACTGTCCTACCTCAAGGACATGTTTTATTGTGATTGATGTACATTTGTACCACTTGTTTCAGTGGCATCAGCTCAGTTACCAGATTTCTATTCCCTAACTGAGGCTATGTAGGGCCCTGTGTAAGAGAGGGTCTCTAAAGGGCATCCTCTGTGAATTGGGCACATCACTGTTCATTTGGTGGTACACATGACACAGGATTCTTGTGTGAATTACCTTGAAACACTTATGATGGTTGTGCAACACATCTAAGCTGTTCATGTTACTTTTATTGCATTACACTTTTGCCCATTACTTCAGAGTGCCTTTTTTTAATGACAGTATCAAGATCTAGAGATTTATGTATTGGTTTAATGGGTTTTTCTGCCACCAACATGTAAACTTACTCATGATAAGGGCCATATTTGTTTGGTTAACCTTTTTAAACTCAGTACCCAGCCCAGCCAGACACTCAGCAGACACTCAGGATAATACATAATAGACATTCCTATAAGTGTGGGGAATGTGATGAATAGATCTTATAATAGAAATATGTCTGCAATTCATTGTGAAGTAAAGTAATACATAGAAAGTGAGAATTTTGTAACTTCGTGACTTAAGAGATGTTGACTATTTGAAGTGATTCTTTTAGGGTGGTGACATGCAAAGTAGCTGAAAAATGTATGTGTGCTATGTTTTGCTCTTCTCCAGAAGGTGCAGCATTATATAAGCTTTTACTTATTTCCATTTCTCAGTAAGTACTGCCCACCTGGCTGTCTCCTTCCTTTTGCTGAGATATCTGGAACAATTCCTCATGGATATAGAGATGTAAGTTGGACATAGATTACATAGACTTACTTTATAAATTTGTGATGTAGTTATTCATAAAACCCTAGACTGTTTAGATCTGTGTTACATGTTTGTATCATTTTAGTTTTTTTAAGAGTCACTTCTTTTTCATAATAGCCAGTATTTTATTCTTTCTTTGCAAAAAAAAAGAAAAAAAAAGTTATGCTATCAGTATTCTAAGAACTTTCTAGATCAACTGATTGCTTGAGGGAGTAGAAGTGTTTTGATTATGCATGCATATCAAAAGAAAATTCAAACTAATATTTTCTTTTTCTCTTCCTAAAGTCCTCACCCTTATGTGTGGCTGGTATACATGCAGGAGTAGTATCCAATGTGTTGGGTGGCCAAATCAGTGTTGTAATTAGTAAAGGCATCCCATACTATGAAAGTTCATTGGCCAACAACGTCACATCTGTGGTGTAAGTACATATGCTGTCTGTAATAAGCATGCTTGAGGGAGGTGGGGCAGGAGATAAGGTCAACCTCAACCAAATCAATCTTAAAAAGTGTTTGTGAAGAAACATTTATGGAGTAAGCACTCTCATTTGTGTTCTCAGTATCTGTGACTTTTTAGAGGCATAGGCAGTCTTGTAATATTTTAGTTTGTACTACTTTAAAAAAATCATTTGGAAGGATGATTTTTTTTTTTAATTCATGTTCTAAGTCTTTGAAACATCTCAGCTGATAATCTAGAAATTCATTGACAAATCTTTACTTTATTGTAAAGATCAGGAGGGCTGTTGTGTACCTTTTAGCCCATGCAAATCAGGATGGATTGAGGATAATTTAAATTCTTTGAGAGTAAAATAAATTTTGACACAGAGGTAGTACTATGATTCTCTCTCTCTCATCCCAAGAGGATACTGAAGAATGCATTTTTATGCATTCTACAGTGTTCTCCTGTGGTATATATAGAACACAGACTAGGCATCAATTGCAGAAGTTGATATTCTATGGGAATGCAGCCTATTTTTATAAATCTGTCCTCTTTATGTGATCATAGTCAGCCTAATGAAGCCAGCATTTCCTTAAAGGTCCTAAGCCAGATTCATTCAGAAGACAGAAGCATAGTCCATGCCCAGGACAGGATGGAATGGGAGCTGGGTGTCTTTTTCTGTAAAGATACAGCCAGAAGATAGTTGAAGTTTTATGGACTACATGCACATGTCACTTACTGTTTGTTCACCAGTTTTTAACCATGTAAAAACTGTTCCTAGTCCATTGACATAAAAGATTAGGTCATACATGGGTGGATTGTCATCTCCCCATCCTTGCTGTAAAGTCAGCAGTCCAACTATCTTTTTCTTGTTTTCAGTTTTGGGGTATGTTTGCTTATTTTTGAGACTGGGTCTCACTATATAGTTCAAGTAGCCCTTCAACTCACTTTGTAGCCCAGGCTAGCCTTGAACTCCAGGCAGTCCTCCTACTTCAGCCTCCCAAGTACTTGGATTAATACTACCTACCATTCCTGACTTTGTATTTTTGTTTTTAGGGTTTTGTTTGTTTGTTTTGGCAGAACCAGGGATTGAACTCAGGCCCTTGTGCTTGGCAGGCTAGTGCTTATTCTACTGAGCCATCTCCCCCGCCCCTGGTTTAGGATTTTTTTTTTTTCCTTCTTATTTTTTTAGATAGAGTCTCTGTATGCTACCTTTCTTTTGGCTTCTTCTGCAGGACTTTATATACATCTTTTCATTCCTTTCTCCTGTGCTACCTTTGGAAAGAACTTTTTTGTGTAAATTCTTTCATACTGTGGAAACATGCAGATAGATTATATTCTCTTACCACATTTTATTAAATGCAGGAGTATAAACCAAGGACTATTCTTCCAGGGTGCCTGGAGACTTATGACCTGCCATCTAGTGAGCTTCCCACTTGTCTCACTCTTGCATTCATAGCAGTTCTCCATTCTGCCCCTGCCTTGGAAGTTTGGAAGTGATGCTGCATTCTGATTCTGAAACCCGTTTCAGAGATGGAGATACTGCAGCTCCTGAATGTAGTCTGTTAGTAGCCAGATCATCCTCTGTTTACTCTAAGAAATGAGCCTCCTTCCCTGAAAATAAATCTTGGTCTTACACTTTCACCAAAAGTTATTTCACAGAAAGGTTTTAGGAGTCAGTTTATTTTATGGAAAAGAAAATAAATTGTGTAGTAAAGGTTACATACACATACTAGGTTCTGTGAAACTCTGTACTAGGTTCCCGTAGAAAAAGTTGATGATTTCAGAGGTTGCTCTTTGTAGCAATGATGAAACTTTCTCTTTTGAAGAACAGTATCAGTGGTCTTATTTTTAACCACAGGTTTGCTAATGTGAGGAAGTTGTGTGTTATGTGAGCATCATAAAAAAATACCTTTTTCTTTTTCAGGGGACATTTATCTACAAGTCTTTTTACATTTAAGACAAGTGGTAAGCCTTTCATGGAATTTCTGACATTACAATTAGTATAATAGCTATTTTTTTCTAATACCAACTATTGGTCAGGCATTGTGTTAACTGTTGGATTTTTTGCACTTTCTTTTTTATTTTCCATAACACTGAGTCAAATATACAATGAATAAAGTGGTTCTTCTCTGTGTTGTAAGAGGAGGCTTCCTTGGAGAGGATGACTTTGGTATGATCAGGCATGTTGAGGGTGGCATGGCACGCCTAGGATGACATCTGAACTTCACATACAGCAGAAATTATTTATTGAACTGAGCTTTTTGTTTGCCAGGCATTGTTCTGGAGCTAGTGATGCACAACCCTCATAGAGAATGTTTCATGTAAACAAAAACCAGAAAGAGGTAAAGGAGGAGTTTGCCCATGTATCTGGCGGATATCTCAGAGAGCTGGAGATGCACCTCTATAAACTAACAGTTACTATTCACATTCATAGTCAGCCCTCTGTAACTGTGGCTTTCACATGTGCACATTGATAGTACTCAGGGGAAAAATGCATTGGTGCTGAACGTGGATGGACTTTCTTACCATTTTCTCTTCACAGTGCAGTGTAACTGTTTACAATGCATTAGGCCTTATAAGTGATCTACAGGCGATTGAGAGTAAGTGGTATCTCTGTTCACGAATAGTTTCATTTGCAAACAGTATGGTTTTCTTTCAGCCAGAAACATTTGGCAGAATTTTTGTTTGCAAATTCTGCAGCAGGTGACAAACAAGACTGTGGCCATCTTTCCCATTAGAACACAAATGTGGCCACCTTTTCCAAAATCATAGAACAAATTAAGTTCATGAACCAAGTTACTGCTGCATACAGCAGGAACATACAGAATTATGCTAATAATACACCATTTTATAGAAGCAACTTGAACATCTGTGGGATTTGGTATCTGCTTGGTGGTGGGATGTGGGGTCTTGGACCAAATCTCCTATGGATACTGAGGGGTGAATTTGTATTTGTACGTTTGTTGAGGATACACAGACACATGAACCCAGGAAGCACTTGTCTAGCTGTGTAATAGCTTGCAGAAAGTGAGTTTATATAGGTTTTGGATGTACATCTGGAAACCAGGTTTTTTTTTATTTTTTCAGGCTGTTATGGAACACTAGGAATGGAGTCTGGTGTGATTGCTGATGCTCAGATAACAGCATCGTCTGTGTTGGAGTGGACTGACCACACAGGGCAGAAGAACAGTTGGAGACCGGAAAAGGCCAGGCTGAAAAAACCAGGCCCTCCTTGGGCTGCTTTTGCCACTGATACAGATCAGTGGTTACAAATAGATCTGAATAAGGAAAAGAAGATTACAGGTTAAGAGATATAATTTTCTACACTGATTGGTAATACTGATTTTATTTGGAAAACTCATGACATCTAAGATTTTTATAGAAAATTAGGTCACTGAAATTTTAATTATATGTTTTAGGTTTTTTTCAGTGATGCAGCTAGTATAAGGATTATTTATTTATTTAGACAGGTTCTTGCTGTGTAGCTCATGCTGACCTTGAACTTCCAGTGATCCTCTTGCCTCAGTCTCCCAAGTACTAGGGCCTTACCTTTAGACATTGATTGATTGATTGATTGATTGATTGGTTTTTAAGTTTTGAGACAGTGTCTCATTGAATTGGTCAATTGCTCAGGGGAGGCCCTAATTTGCAATCCTCTTTCCTCAGCTTCCCTGAGTCATGGGGTTACAGGGGGTATCAGCATGCCTGGCTGTGTTTAGTTCTTAAAAACTTTACTTTTTCTTTGGATTAAAGTTATTTTAAGGAAAAATTTCAGTAAAGTGATACTCTGAAATCTAAAATAATCACCTCTGATAGTCCTTAACAGAAATTTATATTGGAAAAGAATCCATTTCGAGTGCTATAAATATCTAATGTTCTACATGTGGTAAGTGTATATTTGACTTAGAACTTAGTGAATGATCAGAATAATTGCTCAAGGTTGATTTAAATAATTTTGTTCAGGTTTTTTCTTTGGTACTGAAAAATGATACCAATCATCATTTTTATATCTGTTCACTCCCAAGAAGTCATTTTTACTCAGAATTTGATATATATAATCATGTGACCATTAGCTGCTAAAATAGAATAGTTCTTTTCTTAACACACATTCATAATTCTTCATATCTCTGTAAGAAAACAACCCAAAGATTTATTACCTACTATGATGAAATTGCACTTAGAAATAGAAATGAGCCATTGGCAAAAATACTTGCACAGTGTAGCCCAAGTGTTCATGCTTTGATGCTGAATGGCTGGGACTCGGATTCTGTGAACTAATAAAAGTGTTCTCCAGGCATTATCACCACTGGATCCACCATGGTAGAGCACAACTATTACGTATCTGCTTACACCATTCAGTACAGTGATGATGGGCAGAAATGGACTGCATACCGCGATCCTGGGACAGAGCACTATAAGGTAAAATGATTACTAAATGTTCATTTAAAAATGAACTTTTGCCGAAAGTCACAAATGTTCAGCTGTATGAAAGTGTAAACATTAATTTTGTCTTCCTCTGCCCTCTTGTGGTTATTTCAGATAGTGTTAAGTGTTATATCTGTTCTAATTGTGTAAACATAAGTACTTTACTGACTTTTGTCACTGCATTTTTAACTGAAATTTTTGGCCACTTCATTAATGAATACTAAAAAGAAACTTGCATTTTCTTGTCTTTTTAAACTTACTAATCCACCAAATGAGGGAAAGCACAATTGGTTCCTAGTTTCTGCTCTGTAAACAAGAGAGAAAAAAAGAAAAAAGACAAAAAAAGGTAAAGGACAAAGTGCTTTAAAAACTTGGAGGATCTTTTCCAGATCATCTTACCAGCTTTTAGAAAACTTCTGGCTTTCGTACCTGGAGTTTCTTTAACATCTAAGAAAATAATGAAATTTCATTTCACTTAGCAAAAGACTATGAAAATGTTGGGATGAGCCAGACAAGATACATTGTGGAAAACAGGCAGACATGGTTGTTGCCCAGGTGTTTACACCTTATACCTACAGAATTCTGCTGGGCTGCTGGCCTGGGATCTACCAACGGGGTTGTTAATCGGGGAGCCTCTGTCTCCTTGAAAAAGATGCCTTTCTGAAACTCTGCGCATAATTTTTCTATGAAATCTCCCACTAAGTTTAGTTTTGATTGTATGATACTTTCAGTTTGTATTGTATGTTTCATTTGGTTGTAAACTTTTTTTTTTTAAATCTTTTTTTCTTTAATGATCATACTTTTGGTGTGAGTCTGAACTCTACCTAACCTTAGGCCTTAGGGTTTTTTTTTTTTTCAAAGTTTTATTGATAAACAGATAGCAATGAGATAGTTTCAAATCAAATCGGAAGTACAGTTTCAACAAATAATACACTGCATATATTCTTCTTAGTGGTTAATTGCTGTACAAGAAGTGAACTTCTGATCCTATTTACAAACACCATTAGAACAAATCATTCAATTCATTAAGAGAATGCAACTATATATCTATCCTAACCACTTTGAATACACAGATACAAAATGGACATTCAT